CTTCCTCCTCCTCATCGTCATCTTCATCCAGAGGAACAGGAGCCTAAGTCACGGTGAACTTTAACTTCGCTCTAAAAGGTTCAAAGCTCTTTTACAAACACTGGAAGCCACAAGCGAAGCGTTGAAACCGAGAAGAGAAGTGGAACCGGATCACTGAGCAACGACTATGACACCAATCAGCACAAATCAGAACATCCTCAGCAGAGTTTTATTCTGACATCTGATATCTGTGAAGCGAAGCTGCTGATAAACGGTGAGTTTGTGCCAACGGATGTTCTGGCTCAGCTGTTTGAGGAACAGAAACGTCCAACACAAGGTCACTGCAGGGATCAGATGGACTTTTATTTACAACGTGTGAACAAGATTTCAGAATGTACATGATTGAGGAAACAAACTCAACGTTTCTCAGGGTCAGATCCGGATGGTGTAGGAGTCGGAGTGCGTCACGTACCGGACCCAGCGCTGCGATGGGCCGGGCTGGACCGGCGACAGGCGCAGGAAGCGGATCTGCAGCCCGGTGGCCGTGAACTTCGGCAGCTCAAAGCTCAGACCCACCGGACCGACCTCCAGCATGGAGGCCGAGCTGAGACCTGGAACCTCCAGCTGAGAACAGGACCAGAAACCAGTCAGAGTCCGACAGGTGTGGAGATGAGTTCATGAGCAGATCAGAAATATTCACTATTTCAGTTTAACTCCAACCAGCTTCTGAGGTTCAGGTTTAAAGTCCTGCAGCTCTGAGGAGCCAGAACATGAAGCAGGAGGAGAACTCAGAGATGATTCTGTCAGCAGGACTCGGAACCTTGGAGACCAGAGAACAAAGCTTTTAATCACTTGGACTGTTTCTGAGTCGTTCTGGACAAACTTCAAGTCACTAACGTCGACTTTTGACAAAGACTTTGACAAATTTTTAGTTCTTGTGGCCAAATTTCAAGTCCTTTCTNTGTGTGTGTGTGTGTGTGTGTGTGTGTGTGTGTGTGTGTGTGTGTGTGTGTGTGTGTGATCGCGTTGCGCAGACTCTCAGCAGCAGCATCATGACAACACGAAGCATTAAACGTTAAAAACACACAACATGATTCACCAACAAACACTGACTCACTGGGCTGCTGGACCAGGCTCACATAGTCCAGGTTCAGCCCACTGAGTCCGACTTACAGGGAGAATAAAACCTGAGACTTCATGTCTGCAGTAAAATGACATTAAAATAAAAACCTGGTTGTTTATAAGTCTGAGATGTTTTGTTTACATCACATACAAAACGTGTGACTTCCTGTATGTTGTATCAGTGCCATGACAAACTGTGAGCCTGGATGTGCAGCTCTGATCTGAAATAACATCAGAAACCTGAACAACCAAACATTTCACTGATTTAAAACAGAATGTGTTTCTAGAATTACACACAGTTGTTTTCCATTAACAAAAACAAGGATCAAAATCAAACATCAAATAATAAATAAACATCAAAAACCTGTAAAAACAAAAAAAGAAATGAAATTACAATCAGTTAACAGAAAAGTTAAGTTTTTGTTCTGTATTTTATTTTTTATTTTTGCATTTTTAAACAACACAAAATGATCAACATCAGACAGAATTTGCTCGTTTAGAAGACGTATGTTTTTTACTAAGTTAATCTTGATTTCACAAACATGTCCTTTTGACTAAACAGGGAAAAAAGTTTATGATGATTTGTACAAACATTTTCCTTTAGATAGATTAAAACTCACATTTATAGTCAGTGAGGTAGATCTTGTTTATCCACTAAATGTCTGAAAAGCTGTAAAAACTCATATAAAGCTGCTTGATCCTCCGATGAGTGATCCTCGTGTGTCTTTACATTCACTGTTTTATTCCAGACGCTCTGATAAACTGTTGGACTTGGAGAAGTTGTTTCAGCCTGATCCTGTCTGGACTCTGTCTGGACAGCAGACTAATGCAGCCTCTGTCCTTCTGCCGTTTACGACCGAGTCCTGCTGAAGCGTTCACACTCGGCTCGGGTCTGTTTGGCGTTAAACAGCTGCTGTACTTGAGCTGAGAGCAGTAAAGCTGCATCGGAGGCTTTATAACCCACTTAAGGCTAATTGATGTTGAATGGCACTTAATGTGGACGAGCCTCCGTTCGGGTGCTCAACGTGCGGGCCGCGGGCCAAATCAGGGCCGCCGACCGACTTCTGATTCACCGTGAAAATAAAGCGATGCAGGCTGGGGACGAGCTTTCCTTTATTAATACAGTAAAAGTTCAATAATGCGGTTGTAACTAAATCATTTCCAGGTGGTGCGGCCCGCGGTGTTGGTGGCGCTCTGGTCATGTGGACTTGTGACCACTGTGTGTGGAGATGAGCTGTGGAGGCCCAGCTGTGTCTGAGAGCTGCTCCAGGACACCAGTCATCTCAGCTAATCAGCCTGGAGCTGGAGACCTGCACTTGTTCTCCCCACCTCACATCTGATTGGACCACCGCCACTCCTCCACTCAGCAATCACCACACCTGGCTGTAAAAGCGACCCGCCACCTTTCAGTGGGGCTGGCCGGGGTTCAGGGTGACCAGTCCGTCCTGGTGCCTCTCCTGTAGCTTCTGCTGGCAGCTGCTGACTCGGTGGGGGACTTGGTGAGGGTCTTAGTGAAGACTGACCCCCGTTAGCAGTTTGGTGAAGAAGTTGCTCGTGTCTGGTGTGTTTTGAGGCTCCAGTCTGTTTTAGTTTCTGTTATGTGAGGATGCTGCTGTCAGGTTTAAAGTTTGGCTAAAGAGTTTAGTTTGGTTTGTTAGCTAGCTTCAACACTCTGTTAGCCTTCGTTTGGTTCTTTGATTTGTAGCATCATCCACCATCTTCCTGTGTGTTGTCACAGTTCTGTTACGTTACTGAGCAACAAACTGCTTTACCTGAACCACGTCCGTCTGGGTTCTGTTTGGTCCAGCTGACCCTAGAGGCTGGATCGTACCAGAAGGGATCAGTGGTTCTGGTCCGAGGCGTTTGAAGCTCATAGTTTGCACATGAACACAAATATACGTTTAATTTCTGAAACGTCTCAAAGATGAACGTGTTTGGAGTGAAGCGAACACACGTTTAGCTCGATGCTGCTCCGACAGCTGCCAAGTCCAAAGGCCCAGCTTGCTCATTTCTGTGCTTTCAGATGAGAAACTGTTTTAAACCGTTTTACCAGAACACGGTGCTCCTATACATGCAGGATGTTATTCTTTCAAACGGAGATGTTTTCATTTGTACTTTCACTATGTGTGTCTTTCTGTGTGCTGTTG